TGTGTTATGGGAATCCCACGGTGGGTCACGGGGAGAGAATGACTCAGTAGTAAGGTGACGCGGCGGAGCTGCTAGAGTTACTGAGTGCTGTCTATTTCCAGCACCGCGGTCATGTGACTCAGACAGCTGGGCCTGCAGCTGAAGACCAGCACAGCTGTGAAGTCCGGGAGCCGGCGCTGGTCTTCAGCTGGACTGAGTGAACAGCTGTAAACACGTCCAAACGGCACAGCGCTGACGCCTACAAGACGCATTTCCATCACAGCGTCAACTCAACTCATAACCCAACAGCACAGCTCCAGACATCAGCGCTGAAAACCGCACACAAAACAAAATAAAATACATGTAAGTTTTTATTTTTTTATTTATAAAAAAAATATATAAATTTTTTTCCCCCAAATAATTGTTTATAAGAAATGGTAATATATTAAAAATAATTAAATTAAGTATTTTTAAATAACAATAATTCCAGAAGTTTTTATATTTATATATTATAGAGCTTAACATAGCTAGATCAAATGTATATATTCAATATAGAAATTTCCATGACTTTTTCATATTTTGCATACACTTGCAGGTCTAGAAAACTTAAAAAAATGTTTTTAAATTCCCTCATATATCCATATTATTTTAGTATCATTAATATACTATTATAGTTTTTGTTAATATTATTTTTATATACAAGGTTTTACTTTAAATTTAAAGTTTGAGTTATTTTGTTGTGTGCTCTTTTATTCTTTTTTTAATGTCACTTTAGTTTTTAATGATTTTTTTATGCATTAGTTTTATTTTTTTATTTTTAGTTATTTTAGTTACACTAAATGAAAATGAGAAATGTTGCCTTGGCAACTTAGTGAATTAAAATAAGTTTACGTTTTTTAGATTTTATTTTATTTCAAGTAACACATTTTTTTTTTGTTTTAGTCTTGTAATTACTGATAATAACTCTGGTCAGTTTCATTGCATGATTTCTGTCTGGAAAAGGTTCACGCGGTCCATTCTTCTGGAGTCAGTGGTGCATGTAAAACCCATTCGGCTCTTTTCTGGCTGGTAGCAGCATTCCAGCTCCACACACACAACAAGCTCATTGTTTACAGCGGAACAACCTGCAACACAGTCCGGGCCCCAATCCAGAGGGGCCACTCGTCGCCATGGCAACACCCCTGTCTCTCGGCCCGGGCTGTGTTGCCATGTCAACATGGGGATTGAACTGAAGTTGCCGGGACGAGGAGAGAGAGAGAGAGCGATAGAGAGACAGAAGAGAGAGAGAGAGCGAGAGAGAGGAGGACAGGTGACACGGGACGTCCCACATGAGCAATTCAGCCAAAAACCTGTATGACTTTTACATGCATTGCTTTTAAGCATGCAGATATGTAATTATTTTTATATGTAAATAAACATTTTTAATATATATTTTTATTTTTATACAATTTTAGTCTTTTTTTATTGTTTTATTTTAAACAATACTAATATTATTTACTTACTTTTATTTTCTTTTATATTTATTTATGTCCTCCGCTGCTCTTTTGCATGCATTATTTTTCAGCGTGTAATTAGTTTTACGTATAAATATTTGTTTAATATATATTTTTATTTCTAATAAAATTTTAGTCTCATTGTTATTAATTTTTTATGTTATTTAATTGTATTTATTGTTATTAATAACAAATATAATAAAATAATAATATAAATAAAATAACATAAAATGTGTCAAATTAAATGTTTAATTTTTATTTAAAATATATATATATATTTTTTTTTTTCAAGCCTTATTTTTATTTTAAATAATACTAATATTACTTATTTATTTACATTTATTTTCTTTTAGATTTGTTTATGTCTTCTGCTGCTCTTCTGCATGCAGTACGCTCCAAACATCACTAAAGCATTATTGGCAAATGTTTCTCAAACGTATGACTTCAGAAAACGAATATAGCGCACAAGACATATGAACTACTGTTATGATGCCTTCATGCTCCTTATTTCGTCAATTTGGGAGCTTTTACAGAAGAGATACTGCTAAACATCTTTAGTGTTTAACATGAAAAATAAAGTTACATGTGTTTTAAATAATGACAGAATTAGCAATTTTGGGCAATTTCTCATGAAACATTAGTCACTGTTTAAGTGAACGTTCACGGAAATATTCAGGTTATATTTAACCACAAAGTGCAAAAAAAAATAAATAAATAAAAATCAATCAATTAAGAATTATATTATAGAAAACACTGTTTATTTTCAGGACTTTTAAGTGTTGTTTTTTTATTGTGCCATTATTTTTCAGCCTGTATAAACATAATTATTTCTATTTAAAATATAAAAATAGTATTTACTTGTGTTAGTTAATATTGTAATAATTTAACAACGCATTTTAACATTTAGCATCAATTCAAATTATGAATTATTATTATTATTATTAAATTATCATGAACTAGGCTTCGTCAGTTGATGAAAAGCTAATCATTTATTTAAAAATATTTTAAAAATATATATATAAAAGCCAAATAGTTATAATATTAACTTAATATTAACTTACTGAAATACCTTGGGGGTACTTCAAAATTATTTGCAATATTTAACAACTATTTAAATGATTAATTATTAAAATTATTAGTTACTTTATTTAAATGTTAAATATTTTATGATTTAATTAATTATTAGGTTTTTATAATCTCACAAACCTGCAGGTCCACTTTATAGGAATAGACTATTAAAATCAAATCAGATCCCAGACAACATAAGAAACATAAATTGACAGTATCGAGAAGTAACATCCCAAAATTAAAAAAAAAAAGTTACTACATACTAACCCTAAAACTAAACCTTTTTTTGCATTCTTACAACAATGAAACACTATGTATGGCCACACACACGCGCGCAGTCCCCAGCAGAGGGCAGAGTTCAGCACGCTTCACAGGGTGTTCGGGCCCCGTTGTCCCCTGATATCATGTGCTGTCGTGGGCAGCTGTGAGCGTCAGCTGGAGCGCCGGTGGCCCTTCTGCTTCACCGGGACGCAAGCTCACGTTTCCCACAGCTCTGCCAAAACCCATCCCACAGAACCCAACACACCGGGTGGGCTAAAAACAACACGGACGCAACTGTGTCAATATAATACTAAAATATAAATAAAAATATTTTTTAATGTTTTAATGTTTATTTTTTTTAAATGTACAGTATCTCATCAAATACTATGATGAGGCATACTTGTATTTTACACTTTATTTTTAAAAGGGTTTATATTTGACATCCCATAATTCCATTTTTATTTCAATTTTATTTAAAAAAATCACATTTTTTATATTATTTAAGATATTTTTAAACAATACTATTATTATTATTATTAATAATAATAATAAAAAATAATAAAACAATGATAAAATGATAATAAAACAAAATACAACTAAAATATATATATATTTTTAAATGAATCTCATCAAATACTATCATGATGCATATTTGTACTTTACACTTTCTTTGAATATTGGTTTACATTTAACATCCCATAATTTGTGTTTCCCACCTTCTATCACAGGTTTGAGAGCTGATGACAAGCTAATAATTAATTAAATAATGATTTAAAATTGATATAAATAATTAAAAAATAAAAAAGTCAAAACAAAAAATTTACTAAAAAAGATTAAATATTTTATTACATTAACCGAATCAGAGAATGATGCAAACATGCAAGAGTGCTGCTGAATTATTGAAATATTAACTTGAAATCAGGTTGAAGGTGCTCGGCTGATGAGATAATTTGGGAATCGCTGCACGCTTCTGTGACGGGTTTGATGTGGTTTTTCTCACCTCAGGAGCCAGATACTCTGGAGTCCCACAGAAGGTCTTCATCGTGGCTCCGTCTGTGATTCCCTCCTTACACAAGCCAAAGTCCGTGATCTTTATGTGACCGTCTTTATCCAGCATCAGGTTTTCCAGCTGAGAGAGACAACGATAGAAAACATTTCAGCTGTCATCATCTAATAACAGTGACTGTCAACTTTCATCATATTTCCTCCAAATACATTTCTGAAAAACACTGAATCAAACCAACCACATCACACCACTTCACAGCAACTAAATCCATCAATAAAAAGATAAAGAAATTAAAGAAATAAATGTATACATTTAAATGAAGAAATAAATGGTAAAAAAAAGTGAATATATAAATAAAAATATAATATAAATGATAGAATATAAAACAAAATATAAATAAATAAATAATAAATGAATTAATTCATAAACTGTAAACAAATACAAAGTAAATAATAAATAACTAAATAAAAAAAAGTAAAAGTGAATATATAAAGAGGTAAACAAAAACCTAATAAAATAATTAAAAATAGCAAAAATGTAACTAAATAAATAAATAAAAAATAAATAAATAATTAAATACAATGTAAAATAATTAAAAGTAAATAAAATGAAAAGTAAATACATAAAAAACTAATTAAAAAGTAAATAAATAACAAAAGTAAATGAATATATAAAAAGTAAAAAAATAAAAAGTGAACATATAAATAAGTAAATAAATATAAAGCAAATAAAAATATATTAATTTAAAAAGTAAATAAATAGTAAATAAATAAATACATACATTCATACACATACATACACACATACATACATAGATTTCGAGTTTGAATTTTACACTTTGTGGCACTTAACCTCCAAACTCTTTAAATGTTTACTCAAACACTCAGCTGTAGAAAATTACTCTAAATTCAGTTCTTCTCAATGATTTCTGTGGTTTTGTCCCTCCATCTTCTATTTTTCAGAGCAGCTGATGATCTGACCTGCCTTGTGGTGTGTTCTTGTGATGTAAACATTTACAAAATGTAAAAAATCTAACCCAGTTCAACACAGCAACCCAGCTGAAATATATCTCCAAATGAATCGTGTAAGATGGCATCAGTGTGTGTGTGTGTGTCTTTGTGTGTGAGTGTGTGTGTGTCTTTGTGTGTG